TATATATATATATATATACACATATATATATATATGTATATAAATGTATATATATACATACATATGTGCATGTGTGTACATATATACATATATACACGGATGCTTTATAAACGTATACATGTGTGTAAGTCTTTGTGTGTGTGTGTGTGTGACAGAGGGAGTGGGAGGAAAAAAAAAGAGATAAAAAAGCTTGTGTGTGTGTGTGTTTGTACGAGATCCCATGAAGCGGTCTCCAAAAATGGCATTTGTGTATTTTTTCCCTCATCTACACAATCACACCTGTTTTCGTACCATTCAAAATTTCTGTAAATTATTAATATTACTGAGGTTTGTGTCGGCATCTGAGGGACCTACATCATGTCTTTTAAAAATGATCTACTCTTCCATTGCCAACTGGATCTGATTTTAAACACTAATAAAAAATAGTTGTTTTTTTTTATTCTGTTATACATTTAGCTTCCATTTACGCACTTGGGTGACCTTGCTCTCTCTCCCTAGTTAAGAATATTGTGCTAAGAGGCCCTCCAATACGTGAACTTTGACCCCCGCAAATACTTTCAGGATCGAAACTATTTCGGTTCGTTGGAGAGATGCCTACCCGGTGATTTTAGGTATCCGCTGCTGGTTTCCTCCCTTCGGCAACCTTCGAACACGATTTCAGAACAATTATGATGTATTAACAACAGGTCTTTGATCAAAGGTCTTTACTCTCGTATCCCTCCCTCCCGGTAAAAGTCCAGTCAACCTGCATTGTTATGAAATCGATCGTCGGTTCGGTGGCAAGGTATTGCTGGGCATGAGGAGCCCACGCTGCTTGGCTTGGCGGGTACAGGGGTAGCCAGCGCTTGGTTCTTGGCCCACCAGATACCCTCCCAATATAGCTCGGTTTCTGGCACGGGGCCCGAGCCAGGCACCCCCGTCGCCGCGGGTTCTCTGCAGCCGCCATCCCTATCGCAGCTTCTCTCCTCCTCTGACCTGAGTTTAAGACCTTCCTAGCTCGGTTTCCCTTTATTTTCCCTCTTCTCATTCGTGGCGTTATGCTTTTCTTTTAATTTTTTTATATGTAATTATTTTCTAAGAGTCATTTTCTTTATCTTGCGTCTGACTCATCTTCCATTGTCGAAATTCCAAGGTTAGTGTTGAGTCCCCTCATTTGGGCTGGGTTTAGAAACCTTTTTTTTGTTTCTTCTCTTTCTACTTCTTCGTTGTCTTCTTCCTTTTTTATGTGTTCTTTTCCTCTTCCTTTTCACCTTCATTTTATCCGATTCTGTATCCTTTTCATTTTTTTCTTTTCCTTTTTTATTTTTAGTTATTTATCTAATGTTTAATTTTCTTATTATTTTCTCTGCTCTCTCCTTTTATCTCCTTCTACTTCGCTTTCTTTTTTCGTCTTCTCCTTTCTTCTTCCTCTTCCTCTTTAATCAAATCCTTTATCCACCTCTGACAGCCCCCCACCCCCCCAATTCCTGTCATATTCAGATTGTTACCAGAAAATTTATTCATTATATAATTTTATTCATTAATGTTATCATTGTTACCATTATTAACTATTCATTATTATCATCATTATGATTATTAACTATTCATTATTATTATCATTATTTATCATTTATCCATCATTATTATTATTATCAATTTTATTCGTTATATCAATTTATTCATCATATAATCATATTTACTAATAAAATTCTCTTTCGTTAAACAAACGTACTTTTTCGAAATACGCGAAAATGTTTGTAAACAATAAAGATTATTTTCATAATATCATCATTTCATTTCAAAGGGAAGAGAGACACAGTATATTTTTTTCAGAGTATATAATTATTTTTAGTCAGGGATTTTATATATTGGTTTATATATCTGTCGTATTGAATATCATATGCAGGATGATGATGATGATGATGACGATATGATTATAATAACCAGAATTTTTATATGATAATAATAGTGATGATGATGATGATGATGATGATGATGATGATGATGATGATGATGATGATGATGATGATGATGATGATGATGATGATGATGATGATGATGATGATGATGATGATGATGATGATGATGTTGATGTTGATGATGATGATGATGATGATGATGATGATGATGATGATGATGATGATGATGATGATGATGATGATGATGATGATGATGATGATGATGATGATGATGATGATGATGATGATGATGATGATGATGATGATGATGATGATGATGATGATGATGATGATGATGATGATGATGATGATGATGATGATGATGATGATGATGATGATGATGATGATGATGATGATGATGATGATGATGATGATGATGATGATGATGATGATGATGATGATGATGATGATGATGATGATGATGATGATGATGATGATGATGATGATGATGATGATGATGATGATGATGATGATGATGATGATGATGATGATGATGATGATGATGATGATGAATAAATGATGATGATATTAATAATGATGACAATAATAATAATGATAGTAATAATAATAATAAGAAGAAGAAGAAGAACAGTAATTATAATGAAAATGTTAAAAATAATGATAAAGATAATGTTAAAAATAATGATAAAGATAATGTTAAAAATAATGATAATGATGATACTAATAGTAATGACGATGATAGTAGTAGTAAAAATAATAATAATAACTAAAATAATAATAACAATAGTAGAAGTACTAATAACAATAATAACTAAAATAATAATGACAATAGTAGAAATAGTAATAACAATAATAACTAAAATAATAATGATAATAATAATAATAGTTATGATAATGATAGATATAACTATAAAGGAAATATAACGATCAAGATAAAGATAATAAAAGTAATAACGATAACGATAACAGCAATAACAAAATAACTATTTCTATTCTTCATATCTCTCCTATTATCATCATTATCAGTAACATGATTATTATTACCAATACTATCATCAACATCATCATTACTACTGTAGCAACGTTGGCATAAATATGACACCACTATGACTAAAATAGCCCTTCCATATCGATGTCATGTCATTTCCGGCATGACCTGACCTGACCTGGGAGCACTTCTTGACCTCTGACCTCGCAGATCAGTCATTTCCTTTCGATATGTCAGTATGTCAGAGAAATATGTGTAGAAAATTATGATGATTTGAATATAATTATACTAATGGCAATACTTATACTAATTCTGCTGATATCGAATAATTATCATTTTACGCTAAGAATAAGGATATTGATAATGACTATTGCTATTATGATATTGATAATAATGGTAATAACAACAATATTACTATTATCATTATTATAATTATTATAATTAATCATGATTATCATTATCCTTATATCATTATTATTATTATCATTATCATCACTGATATCACTCTCACTTTTATTATTATCATAATTACCATCTCCATTATCAGTATTACTATTGTTATTATCACTATTATTATTATCCTTATTATCATTATCATTATCATTATTATCATATCTTTATATCTTTATTGACATTATTATTATTATCATTGTCATTATCATTATCATTATCATTATCATTAATATTGTCATTATCATTATCATTATTATTATTATTATTATTATTATTATTATTATTATTATTATTATTATTATTATTATTATTATTATTATTATTATTATTATTATCATCATTATTATTATTATTATTATCATTATTATTATTATTATTATTATTATTATTATTATTATTATTATTATTATTATTATTATTATTATTATTATTATTATTATTATTATCATTATTATTATTATCATTATTATTATTATCATTGCTATTATTGTCATTATTTTGATCATTATAATTATTTTTGTCTCTAATTGTTATTCTTACTATCATAATTATTGTAATTTATTTTTACTATTACCATTATCAATAACATTTTCTATTATTATTCTTATCGTGATTGTTATCATCAATGTTATTATTATCATCATCATTATTATCATTAACTATATTATTATTATTATTATTATTATTATTATTATTATTATTATTATTATTATTATTATCATTATTATTATTGTTATTATTATTATTACTATTATTATCATTATTATCATTCTTATTATTATCATTATTATCATTATCATTATTATTATCATCATTTTTATTATCATTATCATTATTGTTATCAATATCATTATTATTGTTATTATTATAAATTATTATCATTATTATTGTGGTGACGATGATTATTATTATTATCATCATTATTTTTATAATTATTATCATTATCACTATTATTATATATTCTTATTGTATTTTATTACCATCAGTGTTATAGTATTAATTACTGTAATTATCGAAATTAGTAGTAGTAGTACAATTTCTTTTCTTTTATCATTATCATTTTTATTATTGTTGTGGTTGCTGTTACCATATATTATTGTGATTATCATTATTACTATTACTGTTATTATTACTATCACTATTAACATCATTATTATCATCATCATCATTTAAATAATTGCAATAAAAAAATAATTACACACAAAGAAGATAATATAAAGGAATTAGGAGGCACTTTTTCATGAACCCTTTTATATTACTTTTTGATTCACATTCACCAAGTTGTATGTAAATGTTGCAACTATAACGATGAGGAATATTTTACCAAAGAATGATATTTCTAAGACCGATGTGCTACCTTAAACAAGAAATGATCCTTATTACCTTCCCCTGACTAATTATGTATTACTGTTTTTGCGTACCATGAAAGCTCAGATATATATTTCCTGTTATAAGTATTTGGGGTATGTTATGCAATGTACATACTCAGAAATGGAACAGATAACAAAATACATTATATAAGTTGTGCTTTGTATCACTTCCTTTTTTGGTCTAAGTTGTGAACAAAAAATAAAATACTGTATCCATAGAGTTAGTAAATCGACCTTGTACAAAAAAAGAATATGTATAATTCATGTAATAAGGAAAGAGAAACATGGAAAGACTCTTTTCTACAAATCTTTATTCACAATATATCTATACACTATACATATTCCATTGACAATTTCCATAAGAATCCTATACTGCTTTTTTCTCTTTATTCTCTCCTAGTTTATGGTAATATTCTTCGTCTTGAGCAAAGTCAATGTTGCCTGGAGGAACGACAAAGTAATCCTCAAGCGTCTTTACTGCACAGCCTAACAGCTCTTCACTCATGTCACCTGTGGTTACCTCGTCATCCGCAAGAGGAAGGGACCTGGTGATATAAACACAAATAATTAGTCAGAGGTATTAAGTACATCATGTTACAGACTGGACCACTTACAACTGATACATATGCTGAAGATAATTTTTCCGTTAAGAGTATATAAAATTGTCTACTGTAATATTACTATATCAACTTCATAACATTTTCTTTATTTTCAACAAAATCTGACAAAAAAAAATATCCTTAAACAAAGAACTTCTTTAACCTTAATCTACCAATAAATAAATATAGTAATAAAATTCTGCTTTATTATTAGAATATGTGCTGAATGATAAATCCAAACCTTCTGTAAACGTGAAGTATCCGTAAAATATGATAATCAAGGTCTTTATTTTGTAACATACAATTTTATAACATATATACAATATCAATTATCAATATTCATGCTTCCCTCTTTATCAGTTTTTCTTCTATTTTCTTTTACTACTAGGCCTACATTCAATATACTTACATCTCTACAATACAAGCTTTTCTTTGCTTTGAAAGGATTCCAATAATAAGGGTTTTGCATTTTCTTCTTTTAAGCAGATCTGACTATTTTCTACTAGTATACCCAGTATGATCACACATCTTCATTATAATTTAAGGTGGTCAACACATTCATAAAGTTTGTAACTCCTTCAAAGATAAGCCAGAGATGAATGATTTTGATTGATCTTCATTAGTTTATGTTTTTAAATACTAACCTATTCTCCAGCACAGTGATCATAGGTTCCACACCATCAGTGTTAACAGCACACAATCTGTCAGCTAAACTGGAAAGAAAGAACAAAAGAAAATAATTTTAAAGTGGTACCCTATACGTGGATATAATCATAGCCTCATAACAATATCACATATCATAACACGGTCCAAAATTCTGATACCATAGGATACCCAATGAGTAATTAAAATGATAAAACTATCCCAACACATCTAAACACACTGTTATAATAGGAAAGTCCTTACTCTATTGCAGCCTCAAGTCTGGCCACACCCTCCTTATTTGCAAAGTCCACAAGAGAGAGTTTCTCCAGAAGCTGCACTAACTTCAGGTCTACTTTGGTCTTTGGGGGGAGCTCCCTCTCCTCGATGGATGTGGTCACAGGTTGCTGTGGAACTTTGGAGACCCTCTCTGTTTAAAAGAAAGCAATGCCGGGGCTAGAGCTATCAAGTGTAGATGAGTACCATTAATGAATAACAGTTTTGGTAACTGCAACTACACAAAGTAATGATGTGGTCTTAACCCATTGCCACCGGGGATGGCATGTACGTACATGCCATGCCCACTGTGAGTCGACTTGTTTGATTGTTTTTACACATAGATGGCTACACTTGTACTAAGTCATCAGTGAGCCAATTACGAGTACTGCCTGTCTCGCTAGTTCACTCTCTTCATCAATTTACGTAAATATTTAATGTTATCCTAATTTGCTGTTAAAAATAACACCTTCTATATCTATAGTACTTGTAAGAATATGTTTTTTCAAGCCAATTCAAGGAAAGGTGAAATTATGACTAGCAGAACCATCTATGTACAGAGATATTTCACAAAAATATAAAAAATGAGTACAGCATTTTCCCCATTTTTTGTTCATTTTCCCCAGTGGCAATGGGTTAAGTATCTGGCTCAGCCTGGTTCTTTAGTTGATAATAAGTTGCAAGCGAGATTGACAAGATTTATCTGGTTAAAACTAAAATGGTAAAGGATTTTACTGCAGCACAATGCACAGAAGACATGTCAATACTGGACTTAGCCATGCTGGCTTCAATTTATAGCATGTTTTTGTACCAAATAGTGCTGTTTCATGTGTTTTATTTGGCCAATACCTTTTTTCTCTATTTTCATGTGGTCTTATTCTAAACATTTAACATTGATATTTTACATAAGTACTTCAAATTTCTGGATTAAATTTATAAACAAATAAATATATAAATCAAGAAACACTTTAAACTGAAACATATTAAAACACATTTATCCAAAGCATTACTAAATGTTCATTACCTATTTAAAATGGATTACAAAAAATATATTCAACATGTCTTAAAAAATAATATTTCAATGCAAGCATTACATTCTCTAACCTCTTGAAGCAGATGAAGAAATCCCTTTTCTTGACAAATGCAACACTTCATAAGATCTCGACATGAAACTCCAGCTCCGATTCCAAATAAAGCAACTGTACTTTATTGTCTTCATCATGGCTACTATTTATGTAATCTGAAAAAAAAGTTATAAAATCAGATACCTACTG